GGGAGCCTGCACGAGCAGATCTGGCTGCGTCGCCCGCCTGGCTTCACTGGCTCTTTCCCACCTGGGACCCAGTGGCAGCTGCGTCGACCAGTCTACGGCCTGCGTCAGGCTCCACGTGAGTGGCACGACACACTTCGCTCGACCCTTGCAGCGCTTGACTTCTTTCCGTCGTCTGCCGACCCGTCACTGTTCGTCCGCCGTGGCTCGACCCCGTTCTTTGTTCTTGTTTACGTTGACGACCTGGTCTTCGCCACTCCCGACCGACACGCACTGGCCTCCGTGAAGGAGGAACTGCAGAGGAGACACACTTGCACTGACCTTGGTGAGCTGCATCACTACCTTGGCCTGCAGATCACTAGGGACAGGGCAACTCGCACCATTACGCTGACGCAGTCGCATATGGTCGAGCAGATCCTCACGCGGTTTCGCTTCCCGTTCTCCAAGGTACAGCTCACCCCTCTTGGTGTGGATCATGGGCTCACGGCTCCACCTTCGGACGAGTCATTTGAGCCCAGTGGTCCATATCCTGAGCTGGTGGGTTGTCTCATGTACCTGATGACATGTACTCGCCCAGACCTAGCTTACCCTCTTAGCGTCCTTGCGCGCTTTGTTACGCCTGGGAGACACCGACCGTCCCACTGGTACGCTGCTAAGAGGGTGGCGAAGTATGTGGCGAGTACATCAGGCATGGGACTTGTCCTTGGAGGGAAGCAGCCAGTTACACTCACAGGTTACTCGGACTCGTCGTGGGCCGACGACGCGGAGACGCGTCGGTCTACACAGGGGTACTCATTTAGCCTCGGGACAGGTGCTGTTTCGTGGCGGTCGACTCGGGCGTCGTCCGTCTCCGGTTCCAGCTGTGAGGCAGTGGTGTACGCTGCGGCCATGGCCGCTCAGGAGCTTCGCTGGCTGTCTTTCCTTCTCACCGACCTTGGTGAGCGGCCTCGCTCTCCCCCAGTCTTGTTCGCCGACAACAGGTCTGCTGTCCTGTTGTGTGAGGAGCCCCGACTGGTTGGGAAGTCGAAGCACATCCAGCTTCGTTACTTCCTTCTGCGTGAGTTGCAGCAGCGTGGCCAGGCACTCGTACGACGCGTGGTCTCTGAGGCCAACACGGCAGATATCTTCACCAAGGCGTTGCCGCCTTGTGACCACCAGCGTTTCTGCACCCAGCTTGGCCTTGTGCCTGCCCGTCCTCACTTGCTTACGTAGAGATGCTTTGTCCTGCTTGTCTTGTACTCTTGCATCTCATTATATTTGCTATATACCTGCATGTGGACTGGCCTTGTGGCCTCTTGCTTGCTCTCGGAGTGTGTGGTGACTTTGAGCTCCACCCTGAGATTTGTCTTGTTCTTGTGGATTGGTCTTGTGACCCTTGCTTGTTCTTGCTGACCGGTCACGTGACCCTTGCTTGCTCTCAGAATGTGTGTGTCCTTGAGACCCACCCTGAGATTTGTGTTGCTTTCCACAGGACTGCCGTCACCTAGACTATGGGGGTGTGTCAACATATATTTTATATGTTTAGTTTTTGTTAGTCTAGGTGTACCATTTCATATTCCTAGGGTTAGCTATATCCTCTTGTATCTCGTTTCCCTTAGTCAATCTTTTCACCCGTTCTAGTCTCGACAGACCGGAATTTTAGTCGGGTCGGGTCCTTATATTTGGATTGACTACCCAGGCGGGTCGAGTAGTGTATACTCGGGCGGGTACAAAATACCAGGTATCCGACCTGGGTGTCCAAAGTCGGGATATTGATTACCCTTCGGGTCGAGTATACCCAACCCGAACTTAGGTCACTAACTCGTAACTGGGTCGGGTATACCCGTATCCGACGGGGTGTGCCAAGGGTTATGATTTTGATAGGTCGAAAGATGTCAACCTTTCAGATCACAGATAAAAAACGACTGGGCTGGATTTGACTATTGTGAGATCCAACTCGGGATCTGGATCCCCACCCCCCGATACAACAATCTCCTCCCACGTAATGGCCACTTAGATGCAACAAGCTCTCCCAACCCCCCAGCTTACATGATTTGCAAAGTTCGGCACCCTTAAATTTGCAGATTCATGAATTTGCATAGTTCGGCTCGGCACCCCCATATCCCCAACTCCCCCCCCCCCCCCCCCCCCCCCTACCCCTCCAATTCCCAAACTCACAAATTGGCGAATTCTGCTCCCCCACATCCCAACTTACAAATTTTGCGAATGCTTCCCCCAACCCCCAACTCACAAGACTCAGCAGTATCCATATCCAACCCTTTCTCGACAACCTAGATCTCACCTACCCACCAACATACAATACCAACTCTCACCCTAAAGTTACCTCACAGATGCCTTTAAATTAGTCCAGGATGAACAAAAATTTGCTTTTAATACAACTAACAAAAGGATATTCAGGTATACCGGACCCGATCTTGGGTCAGAGATACCCGAGAGGTACTGGGCGGGTCGGGTCAACATCCTTGGCCTAAATTCCCGGGGTCATGGAAATTCGACCCCACGGCCTAGACGGGTCGGCTCGGGTTGGGCTAATGCCCATGCCTATCCTAGTTAGGCGTTTCTCACTGTTCAAATTCTGCGAACAGGTGGGAATCCTGTTTTGCAGGGTTGGTCAAGGCTAGGAAATTGAAGATTATTTTTTTCTACGAGAATCCAGATGCAGTAATCCTAAGTAAAAAGCAAGTGCTCCCGCAACCTGAAATTTTTAATGAAGCCTAAAACTCGAACCTGTTTTCGTTCACAATAGGGTTCGACTTTCTGGTAACGGTCGAACCTTATATTCTCGAAAACAAACGAAAAAAGTTTAGGGCTTGAGTCCAACTCTACCAGTTCGGTTCAGCACACGCACATGTTCGAATGCATTCGCGTCAAACATATTCATGTTTGACTGTTACTCATGACTATTCGGGTTAGGTCAGGACCCTGGTAAAGTCGCCAGATTTGGGGTGGTTGTGACACGAAGGGGCAGATCATGCAATGCAAACCCGATCGTGACCCAGTGCGACCAGACAATATGGCTGACTATATGCCCATCCATATGCCGAATATAGAAATGAATGACAGTAGGTGTAAGATAAAAAACAATCCATGGAAGATGAAGAAAACTTCGGGCGAAAAGGAAGAAAGAATGATGAGGGGGAGAGAGCAAGGCGATCCTAGTGCCGGTTAATGACTTCAACGAGTTTATTTCAACACTATGAATGAATAGAACAATTTTAGTAGTAGGCGTTTTGGAAAATATACACGGGATGCAATGTCCCGAAATGCAAGGAACGATGGCTAGGGAGTTTTAACTGATGGAGTTGAGAAAAATACACAGCCCACACTCTAGGTGTCACCACTCATTGTGCGTGCCTAGCCCCGGCTTTTAATGAGGTGCTTCATACAAATAAGCGAGCTGAGGAAGCGTGAATATGTCACTGGGAATGGAGCCTGTCAACATGTTGTTAGAAAGAGACCTGTGTGTGTGATATAAATTGGGGCAGAGTAAGTGTTGAGATCAGAATAGAGGGCATGGACTGAGCAACAGCACGCACACAGGGTAGACATGAGCAAACCCCTGTTCGGTTCGATTCGAACACGTTCGATTCAAACACCAAGGTGTTCGTCACGAACATGTTCGACTGTTCGAGTGTTCATGTGCAGAAAAATGCACGAACACCTAGGTGTTCGCGCGAAATCTAGCGCATCAAAATTTTACGCGCTGGTTGGATCTAAAAGCGGATGTCGACAATTGAGCTCATTCTTGAGCTCAATTGTCGATTTTCACTAAGGATAGCATTCCGCCCACTACCCTCTTAAACTGCACCATTCCCACGGTTTAAAATCCAGATTGGGACTAGGAACGTGAAGTATAAGGGTAGATTAGGTAGGAAACGGTTAAAAACAGAAATAAATAACATTTCGTTTTATCATAAACTTCAGCAAGGTGAAATAGATTCCCATCAGATCCGCGCCAAGCCTTACTTTAACTGATGTAGGGCTTTAGTAAACGTGAAGAACACCTTGTTTTCCGTTGTTTTTTGGCTAGTCCATTATGGATTCTGAAATGCCTGATTAAGGGTTGGGTAGCAGCAAAGACAATGCCATTCCTGGCACATCTGCATTAGTTACTGCAACTGGGACCACAAGCCCTCTCGCACCTGCCAAACTCATAGGGGGGAAATACCTAGCAGTCCCCACATCACCAAAAAGCTTCAGGAGGAGGATGCGGAGGAGGAGGGGGGGGGGGGGGGGGGAGGGGGAGAATGGTTACGGGTGGTGGGGGGGGGGGGGGGAGGGAGCCAAAGGGACTGGTTGGAGAGTGGCGGCTGGAAAAGAAGTGCCCTCGCATCCAAGGTAGTCCATCCGACAGCGACAACAAGGATTATGACCCAAAGAAAGATGGGGAGGGTGCAAGGGTGGGGGATGTGGACGACGAGGAGGAGGAGGAGGAGGAGGAGGAGGAGGAGGAGGAGGGGGGGGAGGGAGAGGGTAGAGGTGAGGAGGCTGCGGAGGAGGAGGAGTCCCAGCACCCGGGGAAGGTCAAGGGGAAGGCGAAGGGGAAGGGCAAGGGGAAGGGCAAGGGGAAGGCCAAGGGGAAGGGCAAGGGGAAGGGCAAGGGGAAGGCCAAGGGGAAGGGCAAGGGGAAGACCAAAGGCAAGGGGAAGGCCAAGGGGAAGGGCAAGGGGAAGGCCAAGGGGAAGGGCAAGGGGAAGGGAAGAAGGGCAAGGGTAAAGGCAAACAAGGCCAGGGGGAGGGGGGAGAGGATGGTGTGGCTGCGTCGGTAGATGAGAATGATCTCCCTACAAAGTCCGTGAAGAGCGGTAAGGCCCCGGGTTGGCAGGTCCAGATGTTTGGGCCATTGGGGGCGGATGATAAGCACAAGTGCAAGATGTGCGATGTTCGTATCTGTTGGTCGACGGGCACTACGACTCCAAGGGTTCACCACTTTCAAGTGAAGCACACGGCACACCACGACATTTGGGAGTATAGGTCCCTAAGGCCACACCTTCTTACTCCAGGGGAGACCTTTTCGGAGGGGGGCTACGAAGGAGTTCCCGACAAGAAGGTGGTGAATTGGCCACACGTGGCCTCGTGGCCCAATGTGCCGACGGTGGCAACCCCGAGCGCGAAGGGCGAGGCAGGCGGCATTGAGTGCTGTGTTACGGCTAGGCTCAGTAAGATGAAGCTTCGTGAGGCGATCACGAAGCTATTGGTGACCGGAGACTTGCCCATTCACCTCCTCTCTTGTACGCTGTGTGTGGGTGTGTTGAGTGTGCTGGTCGCTCGTGCTACTTAATTGGAGTCTTGCCAATGCATCAACGCGTAAGATGCATCCCATCATGCTTGCTGTTGAGCAGTGATCGCAATGCTATACAACACACGCCCCTACGACCGAATCCATTTACACCTTCTACAACCCTGTTCGTGCCTGTATGCAACCCTAGTTCAAGGAGCTGCTGATCTTGCTGAACGAGAAGTGTGCTGAAAAGGGCGTGATCCCATCACGCTGGACGATGGCGCGCGACACCGTTGTCCTTGCTGACTTGGCGCTCGAGGCAGCGATTGCGGAGCTGACCTCTACAACCTGTGTCGTACAACACCGACATGTGGACAGGCCCGAATGGCAAGGCCTACATGGTGCTGATAGGTCACTGCGTGTTGGAGCAGTGGGAGTTGCGCCTGGTGATTCTCGCCTTCGTCGAGATGCCTAACGGGCATGGGGGGAAGGATATCGCCAAGGCGGTGGAGAAGTTGGTGGAGTAGTGAAAGTTGTGTCAACGGAAGTTGGGTGTGGCCCCGTCCTCGCTTGGGCGGAGCCGCCTTTGTGGTCGGGTGTGAGGGGAGCAGCCGACCTGCAGCAGTGGGCGAGCTGGTTGACGAGCTCGACCTGCACAAGGGCCACTGCACGGGCGCCGACTTCAGGGTGGCGCCGACTCCAAGGAGGTCGACCTGGGAAGTCGACCAGCGGAGGGCGTCGACTTGGTGACGCCAACTTGGGGCAGCCGACTTGGTGGTTGGTCGACCAGGCGTGATGTCGACCTGGTGGTCGACCTGACTTGGTGGTCGACGGAGGAGGGGCCGACGTCGACCACGACTCAGGACGCCGAGTAGCAGGGCGTCAACTTGGTGACGCCGACTTCGGGTAGCCGACTTGAGTGGTCGGCTGACGTCTGTGCTCGTGGACGTGGAGCTGGTCGGCACATACAAGAGCAGCTGGTTGACGTGGTTGTCCGGTCGACCAGGTTACCTGGGTGACGAGGTTCTGCGAAAGAGTGCGACGGTCGCCCAGGCAATGTTGGCGAGACCGACCTCGGTGATGGTATCCCAAGGTCGACGTGGCTGGTCGGATGCAGTCGTCAGCGCCAGGTTGATTTGGTGTGTGCGCTGTGCAGGTGACGAGGCTCAACACACCAATCATCTGCGAGCACCTGCGAAGTAGGTGCGCTGCTGTTCTGCGGGAGCAACGCTGGCACGCCGTCAACCTGCAGCGTTGGCACGCCGCCGAATTTGCACTACTGGAGCGCGGTCGACCAAGTCGTGCTGGAACGCGGTCGACCGTGCCGCGCTGGCAGTCGATCTGCTTGCATGCTTGCTCTGATGTAGCCTTGTCTTGCCAACTTCATTGAACTATTGTTGTCAACCTTTCTTAGTGAAACTCTTGCCAAATTTCCCCCTGAACTAGCAAGCAGTGTGTGCACTAGGAAAACGACTAAGGAACAAAGAACGCGGAGATCACACGAGCACCCGTGCCTACCCCATTGTCTAGCTCCCGTTGTAGTAGTTATCTCCGCAAGTTGCAGACGCGTTGCCTCAGTCTCACGACCGACAAAGCGTCTGCAAACATTGTCGCTCTTCGACACCTGGCGGAGGAGGGTGACTTATCGCAGTACTTCAGCGAGATGGCGCACTTCAGGTCCGTTGGCAGATTCACTTGCACTCCCTCACATTCCCCTCGGCATATGCTAAACTTGGTGCCTCTTGCTTCCGTTCGCACCTCAACACCCTTGTATCGACGTTCACCTGTTGGAGCCATGAACCCATCCAATCCACTGCAGGTGCCTGTCGCACATCGTGAACCTGGCAGTGCAGTCTGGGCTGGGTGTCGAGTCGGTGCAGGGGCCCATGAAGAAGGTGCGGGCCATTGCGTCGTGGGTGGGCATGTTGCCCAAGCGAGGAGCCGTCTTCATTGCGCTGCAGGTACGGCATGGTCCGCTGAAGGGAGGGCTGCACAAGCTCGTGCAGGACAGTCCTGTGCGCTGGGGGTCCACACACGAGATGGTTCAGCTCTTCCTGTTACTGAGGCCCTTCATTGACATGCACCTTGCCCACGAGCAGGTACGGCTTCATTCGTGTTCATAGCAGTCTTTGTTCATTCGTCGCATTAGGATTGTTGCTTTGAAGATTGCCAGAGTCCACAAGGTTGGGTGTACCACCGTTTCCCACGCCTAGCATTTGTCGTACTCAATGTCATGCCACCCGCCCCCTCCTTCTCACACACCTAATCAACAGGGCACCACGCGGGAGGAGAAGGCGAAGTGGCGAGCTCTGCGTGTGACCGATGCCGAGTGGGAAGTCTTGGGGGCTTTGGAGGGGTTTCTCCGTCCTTTCGCCAGAGTCTCCAAGGTCGCCGACAGTTCGACATACCCCACTGTGTCAATGGTGCTGCCGTACTACAACGCCCTCCTCGACAGCCTGGAGAAGAGGCTGCACACAGGCACGCATGAGCTGGTTCGTCCACTCATGACTGCCGCGCTGTAGCACCCGAAGAAGTACGAGTTTGCCATCAGCGACGAGTACTGGATCGCGAACTTTCTTGGATCCGTCCATGAAGGCAGAGTATTTCAGGATGACGTAATGGGAGCTGCAGAATCCGGGCATAGTGGCATGTGAGGGCGGGCGGCTTAAGCCACGTGTGAGTGTGGACAGGGTGGTGATCTTGGTGCGCCGCCAAGTGGAGGTGTACCAGGCCCGAGCAGCACGTGATGCTCCCAACCCACCACCAGCACCACCAGCACCAGTGGAGCGCAGCTGCAGGAGGACGACGACGTGTTCGAGGAGGACGACGACGAGTTCGTGTTCTCTAGGGCGCAGCTGCGGGAGGTGTTTCAGCTAGTGCAGCGGCGCGAGCGGGGGGAAGAGGGACGTCAGTGAGGAATGAAGCGGATCGGAACTTGGTGGAGTTGCCTGTCTCGGACGTGTCCGCGCTGCAGTACTGGCAGCGTGCGAAGAACATGGATACGCTAAGGCAGATGGCACGAGATTACCTCGCTATTCCAGCCACTTCTGCAGCTAGCGAGCGCGCTTTTTCCATGGGGAGGAACCTCATCTCCTTGCACAGGCTCAAGCTGAACACTGAGAGTGTAAGCGCGAGCATGACTCTCAGGTCGTTGTACTCGTCACACCCTAGAGAGCTTATCGGTGAGGCGACCAGCCGCAGTGGGGAGCAGGCACCACCAGAGTTGGCATTGGAGGGAGAGGGGCTAGACGAGGGGGATAAGGAGGAGGCTGTTGCTGTGGTGGGAGGAGGGGGGGTTGGGGGTGTTGCATGAGGACTTGGTGGGCACTCTGGCTTAGCTTTGCACATACTTGACTTGACCTTGCCCTTGACATTGAGCTATTGACTTATTTATCCATAGCTGACTAGACCTTGAGTGAGCGGCATTGATGGATATCTTTATTTACATTGTGATTTTGCTTTTAGTACAGGTGCCCTTAATCTCTTACATGCCATGAATGCGCTTATTTTAGAAAGTACATCACAATGCAACCTGTTCGAGTTCATGGCAAACACCTTAGTGTTCGGCCTTGCCTCAAAACTGTTCGACCCTATACGCGAACAATTAACACTAACATTTAGATAATCTGTTTGAGTCATACGTGTTCGGTTTGGGTATTCGGAAACTGTTCGCGTCAAACGTGTTCGGTTCGCTCGTTGCTCATGGCTAACACAGGGTGGACTTAATCGGGGGATGACAAGATGCTGGGAGACAAGCATATTGATTCGCAGTTCGGTTCGAAGCGAACGAGCTCATGTTTGGCTCTTATAGACCGAACTGGTTTCGAATCAGACACCCTCTTCGACAAGAATTGTCGATTTTGTCAAATCTCAGCTGAGAGGAGGAAGTCCACGCAGGAGAGTTTCGGGGTATTCAGACTGGCTTGGCTGCCAACGGCGTGGCCATATACTTCATGATATGGGCACGAACCGAACTCAAACATGTTTGCTCAAACATTTTCGAACCTTGCATGTTGGTCGAACCGAACCGAACAGGTTTGCTCAAACTTTTTTTGGATTTTTAAGGTTTGAGGTTTGAGTATATAATGGCGAACCATAAAGGTTTGCGCAAACCTTGAGAGGTTAAAAGTGATGCACAAGGGATCCTAAAACACATGCACATCTAACGGTTTAGACGAGAGCATCAATAAAAAAAAAAACAAAGCAACTGAGAGGGTTATTAAAAAATCCCGACAATCTAAAAAATACTTGATCTAGATCTAGATGTGAGCTACTATAATTTCGACCCTAGAGTTGGCTGCCTCAAAATGGCAGCCAACCTTTCGACTTTCCCGATTTTAACGGGAAAGTCGAGGGGGATTCGGTTTGGCGGGAGATCTAATTCGAACCCCCCGCGGTTCGAAGTTCGAATCACAAACTGAAAAAGTTCGCGCGAACAGTTCGTGCTAACTTCTCGTAGGTTTGCTCGAACTTTTTTGCCAAAAAAAAAAAAGCTCGGTTCGAGATAACTCGAACCGAACTTCTCGAACCGAACCTAAGTTCGGTTCGTTGCTCATATCTAGTTATGATTACCTAAAACTCCTTGTTTTCTTGCTTGCTTCTGGCATCCAGCTTCATGCAACCTTTGATCATGCATGCTTAGCAACAGGCTAAAACGAGGTGTTTCGTACAGATAAGTAAGCTGGGTGAACGAGTAGAGGTTACTAGTAATGGATCCGGCCAAAGCGTTGTATGAAAGAGACCTGTGCATGGCAAAGTTTTGGGTGGAATATGTGAGAAGAAGAAAAGAGATTGCACAAATGGGGGACACCAAGCACACACGGTCGACCTAATCGGGGATAAGACGTGCATGGTGGGAGGTAGCGTGTGTAATGTGATGCCGTTACGTGCATTTACATTAGGGATGTGCATACTATGAAACCTAACCGGTTCGTCAACGAACCAATTTCTGGCCACCCACTTTAGGATTCGTAAATTTATATGCTGAGCCGGACCACTTCGGATTTGCATATGCATTTTGTTTGGACGCATGTCCTCCGGCAGGAAATTCCAAAGTCTGTTTTTTCCAACTAAGGGCAGATCTACTCACAGACGCAAATTAATCGCAGCCCTAACTGAAACCGGTTAGTATATCGGTGAAAAAATCCGGAATCAACCAATTTCTGGCAATGTTCATGGAAACTAGACATGAGATGAGCTACGGGCAAACACCAAACATGTTCGGTTCGCCCTGCACGAACATGTGAAGGGGCCGAACCGAACATGTGAAGGGGCCGAACCGAACATGTTCGGTTCGCCCGGACAGTTTTGAGGAATTTAAGGTGAGGTTCGTGATAGGGGGCGAACATGTGCACGTTTGGGCGAACCCGAACATGTTCGAGAGTGTTTACAGTGGGCCAGCTCCTCACCCGTCGACTTCCTCCCCCCCCTCCCCCCCCCCGCCCTTCCCTTCCGAACATCGAACATGTTCGACCGAACATTTTTGGCAAAAAAACATGTTCGGTCCGGTTTGGTCACGAATAGGGTT